GGTATAATTCTGATTTTTTCTGTTATACAGGGATGCCACGGGTTGAGAAAAAAGTCGGGTCGGGTTTGAAAATTTTTCCTGGGTCCGGATTTCGGGTTGTCGGTTTTCAAAATTTTTTCAATTCTTCTAAGAAGGGAACATTGTTTACTGTAAGTACGAATTTGATATATTTTTTGGTACCATTCGATAGAGGATCCTTGACTTAGTATTGTGACGATATCCGTTTTCTTGCACACACTATTAAGTCGAGGATCCTCTATCGAATGGTACCAAAAGAAATGCCAAATTCGCACTTACAGTAAACAATGTTCCCTTGTAAGTGAAATATGTTTTAATATTCCATTAAAAAAATTTTTTCTCCAAGATTTATTAAATAATGTTGAGTAAAAAGAAAGGCACTGGGATCCAGGAGCAACCGCTTTACTATATTTTCTGGTGATGTTTTATGTAGATAATTTCGGTACTTATTTACTTCCCCCTACCAAGTCAATTTTCTCGGTAAATTATAGAACTCTCAAGCTGTGTCGAATAAAACCAAAATCCACGTGATTGAACAAGATTTGACAAAGTTATGACATTAGGTAGACTTATCAAAGTCGGTAACTTATGTCATAACTTTGTCAAATCTTGTCCAATCACGTTGATTTTGGTGTCATTCGACACAGCTCGACGGGTTCTTACATATTTACCGAAAATGACTAGGGAGGAGTAAATAAGTGCCGATAATTTCTACCTGTTGTGCAAACATCTGAATTGTTAATATTAAAATATCCAAAACACAATTTTGTATCAGAATTCTGCTGTGTGTTTTCATTTCTTTTGGTGTTTTAAAAATAATTAAAATAATCAGAATAATGTTTAGAGGATAACCAAGTAATAAACTCCCCCAATAATCAAATTTAAATAAAATATCGGTTAAATTTGACATGGACATTTTTATATAAAAATTGCAATTTTTTGCTTTAAGAATTGATTTTTAAAAAAAGTTTTAGAGTAAAATAAAGTAAAATTAATTTAAATTTTTTTTTATTAAAAAGTTTCGCGTTAATAACTTTAAAAAATACAAAAAATATTTTTGAGAAAATTCTTTTGGTTCATTTTATTAACAAATTTCTGAGAAATTTTATGCACTTTTCTGTTACACGAATGACTTATTTACATTATCAAGGTATTTATTAACGTAAAATTTCTACAGCAATGAAATAGAGAAAATAGATGAAAGAGAAAGTCTAACTATTCTTGTCACATGAGTTGGCATAGAATACCGTAAATCATCTAAAATAACCCCATGGGGTTATTTTTTTAAATCGACCTCTGGAGTGGGGCTATTTTAGAGGCTGGGGCTATTTTAGAGGGTGAGGGCAGAACTCAGCCAAAACACGGAACGGACAGAACATGGAACGACAAACCATGGAAAAGACAAAACAAGTGTTGTTCTGTCCCGACACGATTTTAGAGGATTTACGGTATGTCAACAAAAACTAGTTGGGGTTACCTAGGATTGCAACCCGAACGTTCAGTACGGGGTAACTATTATGTTGGGGTAAGGGGTAACTTTTAAAAATACAAAAAATATTTTTGAAAAAATTTTTATGGTTTAATTAAAACTGTGAGAACAACTAGCTTTGTTTACTTTCTCAGAATTAATTTAAAACATATTGTAAATTATCAGAAAATGTCTGATAAACAAGTCTAGACACCAAAATTAATTTAAATAAAGTTTTTTTACACCTTTAAAAAATATTACCTTTTCAAACTCGAAAACCGAAAAAATATTTACAAAATATGAAAATAATTTGCAATTTTTGGTGTCGGTCGGGAATGGGATAAAATCTCACCCAAGGTGGTGCGAATTTTTACCCAAAATTTTTCCATGCGCATTCAAGCGTTTATACGGGTTGAATGACGCCCCTTATATTTAACCCAATTTTTGTGTTTGGTAATTTTCTGCAGATTTTTTATATAAAATGCGGATTTTTAAGATCAAAATTCCGGATTTTTTTAAAAATTCGAGATCGAAACCCGCCTATTTTGGAAGCAAAATATTTAAAAAAAAATTTTCAGAAAATTACAAAAAAAAGTGGTTGAAAAATTTTTTAGAGACGGTTACCTAGGTTTTACGTTGATTTCCGTGTTTGTGGATCTCGATCACGGGGTTACTTCGTTTCTTTTGTGTTGATAAAATAAATTACAATTCCCGATAAATTGGTATAGTGAATTTAATTGGATAAAGTGTCTATATAATTTTTGCAATGTTAATTATAGACTATCTAATGATTGCATTCAAAAATCTGATAGACTTTTATTTATTTTTTAAACCAACATAAATAATACCTACCGTATTTTTTCGATTAATTCCCCTCCCTCTCGATTAATTCCCCATGCTAGAATTGGGTTGAAACAATAATTCCCTACATCCAAATACCCTACTACACGTTCAAATGCCAAAACTCGATTAATTCCCCTCCCTCGATTAATTTCCATGCCAAGGAAGGGTTGAAAAAATAATTCCCCAGGGGAATTAATCGAGAAAATACGGTATCTATCAACACCAATAGGAAATAAATTTAATTTTTGTTTTTGGTAATTTTTTACAGATTTTTAGATCAAAATTGAGAACTTTTAAAAATTCGACATCGAAACCCCCCTATTTTTGAAATCAAATATTCAAAAAAAAATTTTATTTAATTATGTTTAAGTTTCAATCCATTAGAATAATCTACCCATCTTTTTGAAATTTCTTTAAAACTATCTTCTTGAGTAATAAAATAAAGCCAATCCAAAAGGCTAATATGTAATGAATGATACTCCCAACGGGCAATATTAGGCCTCAATTTTCCTTTTAATTGGACATGTCTCAAATCATATAGAGAACGTTGTCCAGTATCGAAAAGGGGCAAAAGTGAACGTAGAGAGTTTAGTCCATTGAAAAATAATTTTTTTGAAGAATTTTTTGAAGAATTTTTGTTGTTGTGAAAAGAAGAAAAATCATTTAGGCCAATTAATGCATAAATGAAGCCGTTTAAAACAAAAGTTCCTGAGGGTAAAGTTGGATATTCTTCATACCAATCATATCCAAATAATTGATTTTTTATTCCTCCTTTTGATGTTGGCTTTAAAAAGAATTTTTGGATTTTTTAGAAATTTTTTAGAAAATTTTTTAAAGGGTTGAGATGAAATGTCTGCAATATTCTTTAGTAAAATTATTATTGAATTTTAAAACCCATTTCCCAAAGATCGGGAATTTACAGGAGCAGGCATATCGGGACAGGCATATCGGGATATTTCAATGTACAAAAGTTACCCTACTGATTTCAGGACCTATAGCCACTAGGTCTTGGATAGTATACATTGTGATATTGAAGAAAATTGTTTTCATGTTTTAGAATCAACGTAAACAGGCCAGAGGTTACTTTTCTCACAGCAATTCCTAACTTCACTTTATGGGTTGAGCTAAATACGGATGATTTAAATGTAGTCGTCGAGTAAGTCGAACGACACCAAGATTAGGCCGCGGACTCAACTACATATGAGCCCAGACCCCACAAAGTGAAGTTTAACCGTCAAAAAAAAATTTTTCTAGAAGAATTTGAAAGTTCTTAATACAATTAGCCTTGCAAACACAGTTTAATTAAATATCACCAAATTTTATTTTTTAAAAGAATCGTTAACCAAAAACACACTCATTTTAACATAAAAACCCTTTTAAAAAAATAAAAAATACCAATTCAAAAAGTGCACAAGCCCTTTTCCCTGCCAATAAAAATCGTTCATCTCCCGTAGAATTAAAAGCTCTAGCCAAAAAGCTGAGGGCATGCCCTAGAAAATATTTTTTAAAATATTCTTATTCTTACAAGGAACCAACGTCTACTGTCACCACGAATTTGATATATTCTTTGGTACCATTTTTAATTCCAGACTCTAGCGATCGGCCCAAAGTGATTTTGCAAGAAAATGGATCACTTTGCAATAGGAAGACGAGGGTACTTTATCGAAATGGTACCAAAAAATCAAATTTATGGCGACAGTAAACGAAGGTTATTTGTTTAAAAAAACCTTGTGCCATAGCACTATACCAACCAGCAGGAAGAAAAAGTTTACTTTCTTCTTCGTCTTTATTAAAAATTCTTTCGACTGGAATTGGCCTAAAAATTCATTTTATTTTTAAATTAAAATTATTTAAAACATAAGAAGCAATTTTTAATTTTTAAATTTAATTTTTAACTAACTCCAAAAAAATATTTTTAAAAAAAAATAAAAAAAATAACCATCCTCCTCTGTCATCCTGATGTTTTAAAAGCCATTCAGCTACCCTCAAAAATCTGAAAAAAAAAATTAATTTTAAAAAAAAAACCCCAAACATTTGATTATGAGCAAAATTCTTTTGACGAATCGAAGTTAATTGAAGTTGTAAAGGTCCAGAAAAATGTATAGAAATTGGAAGAAAATTTAAAGCGTCAGAAAGAGTTGATTTGGAATTTAAGAGGTTTAAAGCTTTCAAAACAAAAATGGGTAAATCCAAGAGATATTCAACAAAATCATCGTTTTGTTCAAGAAAATAAGCAAAATGGAACTGAAAAAATTAAAAAAAATTTATTATTAAAAAATGTTCTGTGAAAAAAAAATATTTTCCCAAAATTAATTAAAGCAAAAGAGAAAAAACCGTCACTAGTAAAACACAATCCTCTTAAATTTAATATTCAAACACAATACCAACTAGAGCTTCGCCGGAAGTTCCGGTAGGCCGGAGTTCCGGGATTTTTTGATTCCGGTTCCGGTCCGGAAAAATTAGATCCGGTTCCGGCCAAAATTTGAGTTCCGGTTCCGGCGAACTACTACCAACCCAACCACAACCTTCTACAAATCCTTGTTTTCAAGGGAAAATAAAAATTTTTTTGAGGTGGGAGGGTAGGAGATTTTATTTTAGTGAGGTGGGATAAGATGTCTCAAATTTTTCTCTAAAATTTCTTTTTAATTTTAGAATCCAAAAAACATTTAAATTATTTTTTATAAAAAATTCTTACATTTTCTTCCTCATTTTCTCCATCAAAATTATTATTTAAATTCCAAACACATTTTTCACTTCCATTAGGCCATTGACGAAATTCCAAATTTAATCTTCTTTTTAAATTCCCCCCAATTCGTTCTTCAAAAAATAACACAAAAGAGCCATCCATTGATTCCATTTTTGCAGAAAAGAGTAAAATTGGCAAATCAGAAAAGAGTTGAAAATTCGCTAACTTTTGAAAATTTTATTTTTAAATTCATTTAAAAATATTTAGATTGGGTTGGTATTTTTGCGGACAATTCTTGCGGACATCAAAAAAAAATTTTTTAATTATAAAAATGTTTGAATGATTTTAATTGATTTTAAAGTCTAAAACACAAACAATAGGAAAAAAGAAAAAAGTCCGCAAAAAAATTGTCCGCAAAAATTCCAAGGCCTGGGGTTTTCCTGTACCCAGAGTCTAGGCCAAGGCATTTTTTTTGACTTTTATGATGTTTTCCTGGGCCAAGGTTTTTCCTAGACTACAGGCCCAGGATCCGGCCCAGACCAGTAAATAAATCCAGAACCCAGGAAAAGGCCCAGGCTTTTCAAAAAATCTCGATCTCTAGTTGGTATTTATTGCGGACAATTCTTGCGGACATCAAAAAAAAACTTTTTTAACTATAAAAATGTTTGCCTAAATGATTTTAATTGATTTCAAAGCCTAAAACAAAAACAAGAGGGAAAAAGAAAAAATCCGCAAAACTTGTCCGCAAAAAATTTATAGACTTAAAAAATTTGTTTAACCTCAAAAATTATCCCTAAATGTCCACTATCCCTTCTAAAAACCCTTTCTTCACTGCCCTTTCCAATTCCCTTTTTAATTTATAAAAACCTTTCTCTCCACTTTTTAGTATCAACAAATCCTCTTTGTTTGATAATCTTTTTTCAATTAATTCCCTCTGTTCTGTTCGATTTCTCATAAAATAATCGAAGCCAAATTGGAGTATTTGAACAGGATAGAAGTAAGGAATTGGACTCCATTGAACGCTCATTGGTAATCCTAAAAAATAAAAGAACTTTTAGAATGAATTTGCGGACAAAACTTGCGGATAAAATTTTGTCCGCAAGTTTTGTCCGCAAATTAATATTCTGTTAAATTTTTATTTTATTAAAAATCTATTGAAAACGCCAAAGAAATTATCAGAAAAAAAATTTAAAAACAAATAAAATCCCTTAAAATTTGAAATGAAAAAATACAAAAAATTAAAATTACTCTTTTTTGCGGACAAAATTTTGCGGATTATATTTTTTCCGCAAGTAATTTTTTCGAAGACGAGTAAACTTTTTTATTAAAATCCCCATTACATTTCTCTCCCATTTTCCACTTTAAAACATAAAAATTTCATTTACAGAAAAAAATAGCGGACAAAAGTTTGTCCGCAAGTTTTGTCCGCAAATTAATTCTTTTCCCCAAAAAAAATTTAAAAACCCTTAAAATTAACAAACCATTTTCGGGTTTTAAACATTTTATTCTTGGACGAATAGCCACATTGCTAAATTGTTCAATCGGATTTGTAACCACCATTTTATTTTTATTTTTAAAAAGGCGTGGAGGAATGTTTGAAGTAAAATAATCAAAAGAAGAATTTTCTTTAAAAGAAAAAAATTTTAAATTATTATCTATAATAGTATATACCGACTTGTCTCTAATACAAGCCCTGGGCTTCTATTTTCAATACCTCTTCTTGAGTGGGCTTCTAGGGCATGGGCTTCTATTAGAGATGGGTTTCTATTGAAGATGGGCTTCTATTGGAGATGGGCTTCTATTGGAGATGGGCTTCTATTAGAGATGGGCTTCTATTGGAGATGGGCTTCTATTAGAGATGGGCTTCTATTAGAGACAATCCGGTAATATAAATTATAATATAAAATTATAATTTAAAATTTACTCCAAACAATAGTAGAAAGACCACAAAATAGCCTAACAAAAAAATTATTTGTCCGCAAATATTTTGCGGACTGTCCGCAAAATTTGTTAAAAATAAGTTTAAAAATTAAAGAAATACTTTTGTCAGTCTCTCCATACAAATCAAATTGTTTTTTCAAAAATGAATTGAATGGAAGATAAACTTCTTTTAAGTCATTTTGTTGAAGACAAGAAACTCTTTTCTGTTTTCCTAAAAATTTAAATATTACTTGTCTGTAGAAATGGCCTTTAAATTGTCAAAAATAGTTTTTCTACATATTAAAATTTCGGCAATTTGATATTATGTCAAAAATTCCCGGAAAAATTTGATTTGCGAAATTTTGAAAAAAAAAACAAAAAAATTTGCGGACAAAAGTTGCGGACAAAAAAATTTGCGGACAAAACTTGCGGATTTTTGCAAATTTTAATCATTAATTGGTCATGACTTGTCGAAAAATTACCCAATCACACCAACTTTTGCCCCTTTCGATTAGGAAATTCAAGTCTCGTAGGAGCATTTCGAGCCTCGTATTAATTTTCCAGCTCACCCAAAGTCGAAAATTATAAGAGGGCGTGGGCATAAGAGGATAACAAAAATTTTAAAAAAATAAAAAAAAATAAAGAAAAAAAACAAACCGTCAATAAAACAAGTTATTGGATGCCAATTTAAAGAATTATTTAAATTTTTGCAGTTAGAAGAGTCCCATAAATGTTGACATTGATTTGTTTGGTAAGAAATTGAAGGCAACCGAAATATTAAAAATAATAAGAAAATTGTTGAAATAATTAGTAAAATTAAAAGATAAAAAGGTTTTGGAAGAATAAACATAATTTAGTAAATTAAATTTGCTAAAAAGCTAAAAGAAAGCTAAAAATGGTGTGGACCGGCAGTTGAAGATATGACAATTGAGGATGCGACAATTGAGAACGACATTTGAGGACGCGACAATTGAGAACTACAATTGAGAACGACATTTGAGCACGCGACAATTGAGAACGACATTTGAGCACGCGACAATTGAGGACGCAACAATTGAGAACGACATTTGAGGACGCGACAATTGAGAACGACATTTGAGCACGCGACAATTGAGGACGCGACAATTGAGAACGACAATTGAGAACGACATTTGAGGACGCGACAATTGAGAACGACATTTGAGCACGCGACAATTGAGGACGCGACAATTGAGAACGACAATTGAGAACGACAATTGAGAACGACATTTGAGGACGCGACAATTGAGAACGACAATTGAGAACGACATTTGAGCACGCGACAATTGAGAACGACAATTGAGAACGACATTTGAGGATGCGACATTTGAGGACGAGGATGCGACGATTGAGGACAAAAACACGTTTAAAAAATGTTATAGAATTTTATCATTTTTATCAATTAATTGGATTAATATTGCTCTATCAATGGTTATCATTATTGTTTTTTGCTAATCTATAGTGTATGGCACGCTGATAATTTTGCTCAGAATCATAAGATCGAGCTGATTTTGGTGTCATTCGACTCGGCTTAACGAGCTCGTTCTGGTGAGCTCCTTGAACCGATATTTTCATGACTTAAGCCCAAAGAAAGCACGCCAATTTGACCGGAACCGGAACTGAAGCACCGGATCCGGAATCAAAAAATCACGGAACTTCCGGCCTACCCGTTACGTCCCCGCTTACATCGACGAACACAACAGAAAGTTTATCACACGTAGAAAATACAAGAAGATGAAGATTGGGGTAGAAAGTCGGAATAAGACTGAAAGAGCGACTAACTATTGGCTGGCTTTTATACTAAACTCTTTAAGGGCTGTTGCCCATACACACGACCGGAACCGGAACTTCCGGCGAAACACTAGTATTTAATATTTAATAAAACATTTATTCAATTATTGTGGATGTATTTGTAAACGTTTAAAAACAGCATTTCGATATGGGGTGTTTGTTAAAATACAAATAAGTGGGTTAAATACAGGTGTTAAATGAAAGGAAATGTAAATTAGTATTCGAATAATGTTTGTTGCATTGTTGTTTGTTTTTAAATTAATTTGGATAAATAAAATTCCAACTTGATTGATAAATGGCACCGTAGCCTAAAATTTTTTTTGTTACTTTTCCGTTAACCGCAAACTTAGTACCAGCCGACTTTTGATGGGCTATAACTTTTTGATGGGTAATCCAATACAAATAAATTTAATATCATTCAAAAGCCCTCGATAAGCGGTATCTTTTCTCCTTTAGGATAGGTAAGGTATGATCACTCACTAAAAAGTTACAGACCGATAAGTTATAACCGATCACAGTTACTTGGTGTTTTCACAGTTATCGGGTCATAACTTTTTGATGTGTGATCCGAGCTGATCCATCAAGATGGAAAAAAGATCCGTTTATCGAGAGCTTTCGAAAGATATAACATTCATTTATATTGGATTGAGCATTGGAGGACTTTATTGTCCTTTCCCATGAAATATTGAGCTTGGAAGGACTTTACCCGAAGGACTTTGCCCGATTATTTTTTCTTTCACATTTGACAACAATCTATTAGCCTATTGCCCCTCCCACTTATATGTCAAGTGATTTATAAACAGTTATACACGGTTCAGTTATATATAATTTAATATTATGTGCTAACTAGCGATTATATTATTGTCCAGTTTGTGAATAAAAATCTTTATTACTTAGGTGTGTTCGGTGTAGGGAAGAGTCTAAGGGACTTGATCAACCCCGAAGATCTTCTAGGATTGTCCCGACCACATCCGCTCCCCTTGTATCCTATAATAACTGAGAATAAAAGGGCCCACCACTTAGGCGCATAGTTACTAGGGAGAAGGGTTCTATTTTACTGTATCAAAAAGTTATAGCCGATCAAAGTCGGCTGGTACTCAGTTTTCAGTCCAAAAAATCTTACCAAAAGAATCAAAACTTTTGTTAAAAGTTTATTCAATACTTTCAAATTCGCATCGAAATTGGAATATAATTTGACATATCTAACCATTTTAAATCCACAAATAAGCATTATTATATAAGGAAGTATTTGAGCTAAAGCTGCAGGTAAGGAAGACAAAAAAGTTATCTACACAATATATATTTTTTAATTTTTAAAATATTTATTTGGAAATACCGTTCCCACGTTACCATACTCAATAAACGGCAAAGTTTTGTTATAAGCTTCGAAGTGTTTAATCCCTCCAGAAAAGTAGGGACTGATGAAAATTATCATATCCAAAATATATAATATTGACACAAGTAGAGCAATGGATGCCATAAATATGTAACGTCGAGGATTAATTTTTATGTTCCTAATATTAGTTATTTTACATTTAAATTGGGGTAGCAACCCGACCCTTCGGAGGAGGGTGTGTCGGGGATTGGGGTTGCCGGGAAAGGCATGTCGGGGTTCGTGTAGGGGTTGATTTTTGGGTCGGTGTTCAGGTAGGGGGTACCCGTGTCAAGCGTTCTGTTGAGTGTTTTGTCGATTAAGGGATATCGATGATCAAGGAAGACAGGCATTTTGTGGGTCATCAAGAATCTAGGGAGATATTGGGGTGTTAAAAGGGATTTATGTAGATACCGTATTTTCTCGACCCCTGGGGAATTATTCTTTCAACCCTTCCATGGCATGGTGAATTAATCGAGGGAGGGGAATTATTCGTGGGAGTAGAATTAATCGAGAAAATACGGTAGATTAAGCGCCGCAGGCAAAAATTTTTAAAATTTTCGAAGGCCCATGGGCAGGATTTTTTCCTTTTTCTCAAAATTTTCGCCTGCGGCGCTGCAAATTTGAACCCCATGGATGGATATAGAGGCCATTCGGAGGAGCCATTTAATTAAATACGGTGAATATGTATCTTTATAATTTACCTATTCAAAACCAAATATCTATAAATAAATTGAACACACAATCCAATTAAATTTAAATAACCAATGTATTGCCAAAATATTGAAGCAATATAGCATATAAATGGATTAAAATTTCCTTTCATAAAACTACTAAGCAAAATTCCGTTAGGATAAATTTTAGTTGGATTTCCTTCTTCATCATGTATGTAAAACTATAATTAAGTATAAAATTGAGTGAGAGTGAAGTTGTGAGAGTTAAGTTGTGGGTCAGCAGTTCACTTGGAACTAGGATTAAGGTTGCCGTTTTCGAGCCGGGCCGCGTTCGAGTCATTTTTTCGGGCCGGCCCGACCGAGTCTTTTTCGGGCCAGAATTCGATGCCCGACTCGATCTTTCGGACCGGACCGGACCGCAACCATAATTAGTATGGATAGGATGCCATGGAAATTTGGGATTGAGTTTCAATTACCTCTTGAATAAACGCTTGAACGGTCAACATTAAAATATCCAAAACACAATTTTGTATCAGAATTCTGCTGTGTGTTTTCATTTCTTTTGGTGTTTTAAAAATAATTAAAATAATCAGAATAATGTTTAGAGGATAACCAAGTAATAAACAAACAAAATAATCAAATTTAAATGAAATATCAAGTATATCAAAAGACATTTCGGAACACCTCAATTCAGCCTGGATCAGTTCAGCCTGGATCAGTTCAGTCTGGACCCTATAACTCATCAAGGAATGTTCATTTTTTCATGTTCTTGGTACCATTGGATAGAGAATCAAAAGCTCTACAACATATCAAAAGCTCAGAATTTTTGACTGAATGAACAAAAAGTTATGATATAAAAACCAACTTTGCTCAAAAAGA